ACTACTCCATCAACCAAGGTCTGGTCATCCATAGTCCAATTACCTTTCCTCCGCTGGAATTAAATGCCGAACCTCTAAACCATGAACTGAGAAATCATCTTTTCGAGTCATTCACTGCCATGACACAAAAATAAGCACCCTACCATTTAGACCAACACTGCGCGATAACAATGTTTGAACATCATAATACACTGTGCATAGCCTCGAAATCATAGGCAACACTAACAGTGGGCAGAAACGACAGAACACTCTTCCACCAGGCGACGATAATAGCCTGCCCGAATACGCAAAGAGAAACATCCTGCACCGCATCTGCAGTACCACTACAACTCTTCGATGCCCAATTGATAACAAGCGCTCAACATCGTATAGGAATGAGTAGGAAGGAAATGAAGGCATAAGCTTCAACAAAATCAAATTGCACGACGAGGAATGAAGAAGGAAAGTGCTCCTAACAGCCTTGTAGCCTCTCGAAGATAAGTACAGATGTCTCTGTACCGATGTGTAAGACTCTACTAGACTTGCTCATGACTCGTGAGATCTATGTGAACCTAGAGCTCTGATACCAAGCTGTCACGACCCAAAATCCACAATAGGTCGTGATGGCATCCAACGTCATCATTAGGCAAGCCAACCGTGAATCATCAAAATAATTATTCATTTTATTACTTTTGAAATCATAAGTACATACTATATTAGTAAGAAATAAAATAAAAGGTGACAATATTAAAGCAAAGCCATAAATATCAACTAGAATATCCCAAAACTATGTGTCACAAGTGCATGAGCATTTACTAAGGAGTACTATAGTAATAACACATCTGTCTGGAATATAAATTAGACAGGAGAAAGTAAGTAAATATGATGGAGATTCTGTGGGTTGCGACACATAGCATGGAATACAGCTCACCATAAAGTCCCCTCAGCAGCTACGCCTACGTGCCAAGATGACCACCATATGAACCTGTCAGATCCTGCACATTTAGTGCAGAAGTATAGCATGAGTACATAAATCAATGCATACCCAGTAAGTATCTAACCTAACTTCAGAGAAGTAATGACGAGGGGTTGACATTGACACTTACTAGAAGTCCAACAAAGCAATATAATAAATTATAAACAGATATGAAACACAATAGTAACAATGAGGTAAAAACTGTAACTCACATAATTCTCCAATGTTTCTTTTAATAATATAAATCTCTCAAATCTCATGTGCTATCTCAGTAGATCAGAAATATCAAGTACAATCTCAAACGGATAAGGAATACCATATAAGTGTCATGTCTCAATCAAGGGGAATCTCATGAATATTCGGACTCCTAGCGGTATTACGCACGATTATGCCGAGGTCGTATGACCCGATCAAGAGTGGTGTGTACACTGCTGATGCTCGACCGGTGCAAACTAGAGATGCATCTCAATATACTACTGAGGCGTTCAGCCCGATCCACAGGAAAGGAAGAAACTTATTGAATTATGGGTCACTTGCTTACAACACAGGTAGAGGTGCAAAGGGACTTATTCGTAATATTTATGAGAATTTAGCAATTCAAGAAAATGAACAACCATCTCTCGAAGACTGCCAAGCGAACATATATTCTTATGTTAGATCAATATTTGATAAATATAAATATATGGAAATAACAGGTGGTGAAACTGCTCCTTCTACTTCTATGTCTAGAGTAGAAGTTCTATGGGAAGATATGAATGATATAATAGGTTTTGATTCCTCTATTGATGATGAACTTGATTCTTATCTTAATCAAAGATTGGAAAGTATTAAAGACGAAAAAGGCAACGAATAACTTTTGGCATGGTGGAGGGAGCGTGGCAAGACTTTTCCAACACTTTCAATAATGGCCCGAGATATTCTTGCTATTCAAGCATCATCAGTAGCATCGGAGAGCGCTTTTAGCGCTGCAAGATTTCAAATCGGAGATCATAGACATTCATTAGCGGAGGACAGCCTAGAGATTTCTGTATTATTCAGAGATTGGATTAATTCAGAAAGAAGAAATCTTGGTTTTGCAAAATTAACCACTAGGGAATAAGAAGAATACAATGAGATACTTAGCACTGGGAGCGATGACGGCATGGAACTCATGGAACATCAATCAACATTGCCAATTCCAGAACAATGTCCAAAAAAAATTATAGATAAGTTACAACGAAGTTATATAGGAGCTTACAAATATTAGTATGATAATTTATAATTGGCTACTAAGAGGCCTAGTTCAAACAGAACCCTTGCTAGAAGGTGGTTGCATAGATTAGGTGCTCTTCAAAAGAATTATATTTGTACGTGAGATTTGAAAGTTCTATTAATAAAATAAAAGGCTCTAAGCGTTGAATTATTTTTATGAATTGTCTTACACCCTTACTTAGTTACTTAATGGCTTTAAATTATATTAAATAAATTATAACTCTATTATAAATTTATCATTACTAGAAGATTTCATTACAAGTCTTTTGTTTTAATATTTTATAATTATTTACTTAGTTTCCTAATTTCCGTTTAATTTTTAAGTTTATTAAATAAGTCAAAAAACTAGTTGTTGCAAACTTAAAAACTTAGTCATTGTCAAAAGAATAGTCGTTGCCAAACTCAATGCTTAAATAGATTATTTTTTTAAAACGGCACTTAAAGCCCGCGAACTCGTCCCGTCCCGTCCTGTCACATCCCGTCCCGTCCCATCCAGTTTGTTAGCGGGATGGGATGGACCTACCATCCGTCCCGTCCCGTCCCCTCCCATCCCGTTTGTTAGCGGGACGGGATGGGCCTATTGTTTCTTCCCGTTTCGTCCCGTCCCGCTACCGTCTCGGCTAAATGTCGTCCCGTCCCATTAATTTTGTCCTGTCCCGTCCCATCCCATTGGACAGCCATATTTAAGGCATACATAAACTATTTTACTCAGCCACCTGTTGAGCGCTGCCATAGCCGTCCCGGCGGCGGCCATCTATCTTTTCCCGCTAGTCAGCCTCCTCCCTCCCTCGCCCCAACCACTACGACCACAAATAACAACTCCCAGCCCCTAGATTATACTAACATACTCAAACCAGCCGTTCAAAACAAACCCATGCAGACGTCGAACCCTAATCCAAAACCTAATGTAGATCCTATCCCTATGCGACGAGCTATTGTTTTACATGGAGAACCTTTCGTTACGTTTGTTGGCAAATTGTCGTATGGTTGTCCAGAACTTCAGGAGTTACGTAGAATCATCCCAAGTCAATGTGGAATCAAAGGAGAATGTAGTGTTAGTTTCCTCAGAGATTCACATGTCTTAATTAGATTGATATTATGGGAACATTTTATTAATTTTACGTCCAAAAATGCTTATTATGTTAAAGCTAAGGATGGGTGTGAGTACCAATTGCGACCATTGATCTATGATAATAAATTCAAGGCCGGAAAAGAAACTCCAAAGGCTATGGCGTGGATTTCGTTACCAGGTTTGTTACCAACTTTTTTTTATCAAAGAATGTTTATTGTCTTTAGCTTCAGCTGTGGGGAAGCCTCTACATCTAGATATATCTACTATCAATAAGAAGAGACCTAGTTGTGCAAGGGTTAAGGTCCTTGTTGATTTGTTAGCTGATTTGCCTAAGAAAGCTTGAATGGATATTGAGAATGAATCTACTGTGGAGATAAGGACTGAGTGGGGAAAAATTCAATACGATATGTTACCTAAGTATTACAAGAAATGTAAATTACAAGGACATGATCAATTTGAATGTTGGCGGATTCACCCAGAATTAATGGAGCACAATGAAAAAGTCAAACAAGGAGTACATGTTGTTTAAGGTGGAGAAGGTGCTGAGCAAAATGGAAGGAAAAAGAACAGTGTTAATCATCCAATAAAGATCTTATCAAGTGGTAAGGTGGTTGGAAACGTAGGTGAATAATGGAAAGAAGTAAGAGACAATCGAGTCAAGAATGGTACAAAGTAGGTGGAGGATCATGTCAAGACTGGAAAGGAAATAGTTGCAGTTGATCGAACTGGAATGGAACTAGTTCCAGTTGATAAAGGACTAGTCCAAGATGTTCAAACAACTAACAAATATGCAGCACTGGAGGTGAAAGAAAGTGAACAAGATGAGAACAATCAATTGACTTTGGTGGAAGAGGATATGATTATTCGAAGTCCAAAACCTACTCCTAAGTCCAAAGGGAAATTAAATCTGGCGACAACAGTATTTAATCCAAACACAACTGGGATTGAAGTAGCAAATGGAGGGCAGAGTACTAATCCTAAAAGCAAAGGGAGTATTAGAGAATTTTTTAAAGAGACTACTGCACAATGGGTGAATAGAGCTTTTGGTGGAAACTTAGTTGTAACTAATACATCTTGTCAAGAAGTTCCATCACAAACTATAAATACAAATGATACAGCTGAGCTGCCAAAGGAGAATGACAAAAGCCAATTGAGGGAATCTGATGCATCAAAGGAGAACACTGACAATGTCAACAAGGATCAACAAGGAGCTTACTTGAAGCAGGGTGTTATGACTAACCAGTCCTGCCAAGATATACCTTCACAAACATTTGTGTCTAGTAATCCATTAATGGGACGGATGTGGAGTCAGCATATGGAAGAAGATTCTGATGATGAAGGGGATCAATTAGTAGAAGATGATCATGAGAAAGAGGAGGAAAAAGTTTAGTTAAGTGGAAAAGAATCTGATGGGGAGGTACAATTTGTAGAAGATGAGAATGATGGTGAGGCAGCTAGGCAGCCAAGTAATGATATGCTAGGGGATGTCTACAATTTGTAGTTTAAAACTATTCAAGATGCTATGATGGCAAGGAAAGTGAATGTTGAGATATTGAAAGAGTCTACAAGGAGATTACAAGATCAAATTGCTCTGGTTCCTATGGTAAGTACACTGGAATCTGGGCAAAGCATCAATGTTATGCAAGTAGCTACTCCGGTTGTAGATGATCCTGGGATACTAGCTGGGGAAACTTTCAGTATAACAAGTGGTATTTTGGCTAAATGAATCCTATTAATAATAGGGGTCAAAAGGAGTTGGGAATGATAGCCAAAAATCATGAACCAAACCCATTGGCTCTGCAGGTGATGGATGATGAACAAGGTGAAGAGGAAGACTTGGGGGAGGACATAGAGGAGGAATCTACAGCGGCAAACTTTAAACAAGCAGTGAGAGATGGTGATATTTCTCCCAAAAGTATGGACAAGAAGAAATCAGTTGGCAAACCTTCAAGGAGACAAAAGAAAGATAGTAAATATAATGTACCATTAAGGTTGCAACCAAAGAGGAGTGTTATCTCTCTTTCCAAATAATCTTACGGATAATGCTCTCGTTTGGAATGTGAGGTCGATAAACACAAAAAAGGCTTTCGACAGGTTGCTTAACCTACATAGAAAGTACAATTTTTACTTGTTAGGATTGATGGAACCTTGGCAAGACATCAACAAGTTGGAGGAATATAGAAGGAAGCTGGGGATTCACTCTGCTTATGCTAATATGAATGGCAAGATATGGGCTTTTGTTGATGAAGATATTGATGTAGACATTGTGATGAACATGAAACAACAAATGACATTGAAGCTATTTCATAGGAATATGAGTAAGGAGTTATATATGATACTATTATATGCCAAATGTGATGCTATAGCAAGAATTGAGCTATGGGATTCCATGTACCACTTAGCTTCAGATATGGAATCTCCTTGGCTTGTAGGAGGAGATTTCAATGTGATTCTATCTGAGGAGGAGAAAGTGTACTTGACTGAAGTTGAAGACTTTACACATTGTATGGACACATGTACATTGTATAATCTGGGCTTCAAAGGGAGTTTGTATACTTGGTGGAATGGAAGTTCTGATATTGATTGCATCTTTAAGAGGCAAGATAGGTTCTTTACAAATCAACAGTTTTTAGATTTATTCCCAGCATTAGAGGTAGAGCACCTGATCAAGTATGGCTCAGACCATGCCCCTCTCTTATTATCTTGTAACATTGACACTGTCCAAGTTAAGAAACATTTCAAGTTTCTTAACTTCTGGACCAAACATAAGACATTTCTGAAGGTGGTGAAAGAGAATTGGATAAAAGATACCATGGGGAATCCATTCATTTTATTTCAAAGTAAATTGAAGAAGGTGAAGACTGCTTTGGCAGCTTGGAGCAAAGGAGACATTTGGAGACATTTTTAAACAAGTTGCAGCACTGGAGGATGTAATTAAGGTGCATGAGATAGAGTTTGAATTGAATCCAACAGCCCAGAATAGAGCAAAATTGCATAAGGTAGAAGCTGATCTTACAAAATACTATCACCTTGAAGAAGAGTTGTGGAGACAAAAGGCTGGAATGCAGTGGTTTAAGGATGGGGATAGAAAAACTAAGTTCTTTCATGCTCATGTGAGAGGCAAGAGGAAAAGGTTGCAAGTATCTAGAATATTGGACAAAAATGATAATTGGATTGAATCCCAGGAAGAAATGGAAAAGGAGGCAGTAGACTGTTTCCAGGCTCAATTCACTGAAGAAAGGATTCCTAATAACTTTGATATCATTAATCATGTCCATAGGATGATTTCTGCTGAGCAAAATGAAAGGATGTGGGAAGAACCCACTATGGAAGAGGTTAAGGCAGCAGTGTATGGTCTGAATGGTACTAGTGCTAGTGGTCCTGATGGATTCACTGGTCAGTTAAATCATGCCAGCTGGGAGGTTATTTGTGTTGATGTGTGATGGTAGGCTATAATTGCGTGTTTTAGTTGCTTATCGCACCCTAATTTACTGCACTTTAATTGAGTTTGAGTGTTAATCGCTAGTGTTTTGCACTTATTGTATGTTTTATGCTTTGTAGGAGTGATCCCGAGCTATGTAGATGTTATGGCAGGAATTCAAGCTATTTTAGAGCTTTGAAGTCTGAGTAAAAGCTCAAGGATTAAGCTGGGATCGTGTTCGGGGATCAATGGATAATCATGCACTTAATGAAAGAAATGGAGAATCGAGCAGGACGCCACCCAGGTATGTGAGAGCGCACTGGGTGCGCATGTGAGGCAAAATACCTTCCAAAGTGAGCGGCCATATGCACGAGCACACTCCCAGGTGCGCGGCCGCGCACGTCCAACGCCGGAAGTTGTCCTATTTCGCGTAGGAAAAGGTGTTTTCGCTTAGGCCCAACCTTACTTGGTATATATACATGGAAAAACATTATTTTCTGACTTTTAACACATCTAAGACCTAAGGAGGCTAAAGAGGAGGTGGAGAAGCAAGAGCACAAGTAATTCATCATTCAATCCTCACGTAAGACAAGAGTTTGGAACGTTTTATGTTTTTCTTTACTTTAAACATATTTGTGATGAATTACTCCATATCTATGGAGTAGTTCTCTTTAGGGTTTGATGGATTTGGTATATTAATATTTGTTTGTGGATGATAACTCTAGTTTTATGTAATGAATCGTTTTGGATGTTTTAATAGTTGCATCTATGTTCACATGTTCATGTAATCGAGAGAGGCATAACTTGTGATATCGTTGCATTATCTTGTAGGTAGAGTTCATTAATTCTTCTTAGTAATCGAAAGAGGCTAGTTGAAATATTGTTTAACCCTAGTTAGAAGGATAATCGAGAGAGGTTCTCCTAAAGACCAATACACTATGAATTCTTGCATATCTTCACTGAGCTTAAATTGGTTCATATAGTGAGGTTGAGACTTAATTGAGAGAGGAGTTTCTACTAAACGTTTGAACTACGAATTGAGTGAATTCGAGAGACTCACTTGAACATTAGAAGTGAATTAACTAGAGTTAAATCCCAGATATTTATCTCGCACCTATCCAATCAATCCCTATTTTCTCCCATTGATATCTTCCTTACTTACTTTTGTTCATTTGTCATTAGTCAATAACCGTATATTCTTAGTTAATTGTAGTTTTTAATCACATAATTCTCAATTGTTGATCATCTTGGATAGCAACTAAGCTATAAACTACGAAAATATTGTTTAACTCCAATCCTTGTGGATACGATATTATATTATACTATATTTGACTAGCGAGCATATTTAAGTGTGTGTTTTGCGCTCGTCAAATTTTGGCACCGTTTTCGGGGATTGGAAATCAATAGTGTTTGAAATAGCCTGTAGTGCTAATTCAGGAATTTTTCTTCTTATTTTATTTTATTTTTCCCTTTTATGTTGGTACTTGTTAACTGTTCGCAGGCTACAGGTTAGATTAGTGCATGACTCAATCCTCTGGGAAGGAAGTGCTACCATACAAACCAGAAATCGAGAAACAACTGCGATAGTTGAGGAAGGAAAGAAATCTCCCCGAAAATACTGAGAAGGTTGGGAAATCCTCAACCAAAGAAATTATTGAGAGAGATGATGATAATGTTGATTTGGCTGCAAGAGAGGTAGCCCAACAACGAGAGAAAGCTGCAAGGGATGCTGAGGAAATAGCTCTTCGAAATGCACAACTTGTCTGCGAGGAGGAAAGGGCTCGGAGAATTGTTTAGAATCAATCTTTGGGTACAGACCAATTCAGAAATATAGCTCCCGGTGCTGGGAGACCATTTGGCGATTATGCTAGACCGGTCTACAACCAAGGCTTATCAAGTGTGAGACCACCTCCAGTTGCAACTAACAATTTTGAGTTGAAGCAGGGGTTACTCCAAACTCTTCAAAATAGTTGTGTCTTCAGAAGAAAGATGAACCAAACAACCATCTAAAAGAATTCAAAGAGATTATGAACTCCTTTCAATACAATGGTGTGTCGCAAGATGCAGTTTACATAAGGGCATTACCCTTCGCTCTCAAAGACAATGCAAAGAACTGGCTTCGAAGCTTGCCTAATGGATCGATTAGAACATGGGATGAGATGACTAGAAAATTTCTTGACAAATATTTCTCATCAGCTAAGGTGGGCAAGTTTAGAAGAGAAATCCATAACTTTTGCCAGAACGAGACTGAAACTGTGTTTGAAGCCTAGAAGAGGTTTAAGGAGATAGTGCGAAAGTGTCAACATAGCGGAATTGAACTCTGGATGTAACTCCAGGATTTTTGGGATGGATTGACACCAGCCTCAAGAAGAACATTGAGTAATGCAGCTGGAGGCCCGTTGATGAAGAAGACTCTAGAGGAGATAGTCACAATTCTAGATGAGTTATCTGAAGATGAAAATCAGTGGCCCTCTGAAATTGCTGAAAGAAGAAGATCAACTGGTGTTCACCAAGTTGGCGCTAACACATCTGTGCAGGTACAGCTTGATGCCATGGCCAAGGAAATAAGGAAGCTGACCTTAGCCTCGATACACAGTAAGCCCCATGCAGCGTGTGATATATGTGGAAGAGGGCACCCTACTCATGAGTGTCAAGCCTCAATCGATGCAATGGGTCAGAAGCACCCCGATTTTTCACGGAGTTCACCTGGGGGTACTGCAAATGCATGGCAACAAAACAATCTCAGATTTCAAAGACAAGGAGCTCCTGGTTTTGCAAATCAGCCGAGGCCACAGTACAGCCTCAACATTCCACTCAGCCTGGGCTAGAAGATCTAATAAAGTCTTTCAATGTCAAGACAGATGAGAGATTAGATGCTCATGGTTCACCTATCAAAGAACTTGGCACTGGTCTGCGAAACTTTGAAAAGCAAGTGGGACAAATTGCAACTGTATTGTCTGAGAGAATCCCAGGTACTCTACCAGCTGACACCGAGAGAAATCCCAAAGAAACAGTGAATGTTGTGACTTTGAGAAGCGGGCAAGTGCTGAAAGATCCCACTCCAGTCCAAAAAGATGTGGTATCTAAAAAAAGACAGTGAGGAGAAACTGAAAATTGAAGGTGATAAGAGGGCGAAAGGCAAGAAGGGAGCTGACAAAAAGAAGAAGGAGGACACTTCGGGAAAGGAAGATCGGAATGAGAGCAGTACATGCCTGCTTTACCTTTTCCCCAAAATATGTATAGTGAAAAGCTGGACAAGCAGTTTGAGAGATTTCTAGATATGCTGAGATAGGTTAATATAAATTTTCCATTCACAGAAGTTCTCTCACAAATGCCATCTTATGTCAAATTCTTGAAGGAGATCCTTACAAAGAAGAAGGAAGATAGAAGAGACCTCAGTGGTCAATCTCACAGAGCATTGCGGCGCAATCTTGTAAAACAAACTTCCACAAAAGTGTGGAGATCCAGGAAGTTTTACATACCTTGCTCATTAGGCACTCTTAATTTTGATAAATCTTTATGTGATTCTGGTGCCTCGATTAATTTAATGCCTTTATCTATTTACAGGAAGCTGGAAAATGAGCTTGGAGAGATAAGGTCTGAGCCAATATCTTTGCAGTTGGCAGACCAAACAATTATAATACCCGAGGGGATAGTGGAATATATCTTAGTTCGGGTAGATAAGTTTGTATTTCCTGTAGATTTCATAGTGGTGAAGATGGAGGAGAATAAAGAGGTCCCCCCTTATCTTAGGAAGACCATTCTTAGCGATGGGCAAAGCAATAATAGACATACATGATAGGAAGCTCATGCTTAGAGCGGGTGAGGAGACAGTGACTTTCGAGATGAATGTGGATATGGGGGTGAGAAAGATGAAGCCAGCTGCAAGTGTAGAGTGGCGAGTGAAAAGCTCAAAAGAGAAGGTCCCAGTGATTGAGAAAGACAAGTGTGGGTTGTACCCCAAGAAAGCTGAGAAGAAGTTGTCCGCGTGGATGTGTGCACTAGTTCGGGCACGAAGAATGGAGCCCGACTTTGACTCGGACCCCGACTAGAGATTCAGGGAAGTTCCTCTAGCTTATGCTTTTTAATTGTGTATCATGAGGACATGCCACAACTTAAAGTGTGGGGTGGGGGATATATTTGTATGTATGTTGTATGTATATTAATTTGGTTAGTTGTAGTAGTTTGATAGAAAAAAATTGGAAAACCATAAAAAATTTAAAATTTTCGATTTTTCCCGACGATGGATATCATTTGATGGGTTTCTTGAGGGATTAAAGTCGAAAGAAAAAGACAAAAAAAAAATTCTCTTGTTAGGTAGTGTATTAATTCTCCCTTGATTTTTCTTTGTATCGCGGTTCTTTTCCAAGGGTTTTGATTGAACCGGGTATAGTTAGTTTTTATTTTTGGTTAGGAATAGGAAGCCTTGTGTTGAGAGCTGAATTGAAGACAATGGCTCTTAACTTTATTATACCTTGAGAATAGTGAGTGCTTTAGTTGTGATACTTAGGCTTAGTTTTTGACTCTTGTATAAGTACCTTAAAGTGTATGATCTTAACTTTGCTTAATTGTTTTGACTAGAGTGTCTTGATAGTCTAAATACAGAGTGAGTTATGTGTCATGTGTGTGTAAGGTTTGTGTCATTCTATGCATTACATTTGATGTCTAGAACTTGCCCCGTGTGTTTGCAAAGTGAAATAGTAGTTTTATTCAGTCTTGGAAGTGATATAGGCATTTCTTTGTTGAGCCGATGATATGTGTTTACCTACCAAATTGTTATGTATCGTAAAGCCTTACCCATTTGTTTGAATTAACCATCTATTTTAGTTATTTACCTCTCGTGAGCACTTAAAATTGTATGAACTTTGTAAAAGTTAAAGTGTGGGGTGATTGGGTTGGTTTTTGAGTGGAGCTAATGAAATAAGGAGAACGGTGCACTATTTTGAAAAAGTAAGAGCCACTTAAATTGAAAAAAAAATATACATAGTGTATTATTGTGAAAATTATCCATTGATAAGTGGT